ACTTCAGCTCTACTAAGACCCTCTCTTATTTTCTAGTCCCTTTCAGGGCACTTTGTTCTGATAACAGCACTCTTAAGAAGTATTTTTATGGCTGTAAATGGGATGATATAATGCTTTGAAGATGTGGCGAATATCAGATGGTTCTACCAAATGTCATGTGTGAATGGGATGGTGGTATGAAAAGCACTTATGGTGTTGTAGTGTCTGATGTATGAGAGCTTCTATTACTTAGACTATTCCCTGTTTATACAAACAAGGAAGAAATGCACAAATGTGGCTGCCTTCTGTGGAGTTTTATCCTACTTGAAAGGTGTTCCATGACAGCCCAAAGTCTTGGGGTTTTTTCAGCCCACCTAAAGAGCACTTAGAGTTTGAGGTGAGATGTTTTCTCTCCTGTACTGCATTAGCTGTACCTACCAGACTGTAAAGGTGCACTCTATTGCCTTTCTTCTTTGCATCTGTGATGCTTTGCAGACTGAGGAAATTGAGAACTCTCTCCCCCAAATGCCAACTTCTGATCCACTTCAGACATAAAACTTTCCAGAATACAGATTAGTGGGGAAAAGCTTGCTAAAAGGTTAGCGTAGTTGGATATTAATTGGTAAAAATAACTGGTTAATTGCCTGCTTGATAATCTGTGTGCAAAAAAGCAAGCCACAAAAGGTTCTCCCCCTTTTTACAGCTGAGTCTGCCATGTTTCAGATGCCCTGTCCACGTGCACTGGTGGCTGTGGCTGTGAGCTGGAGCCCCTGGACAGTGAGCACCCAAATACTGGAGTTGCTGCTTGGTTTTTTCCCTGATAGACAATAAGTTGGCATCCATCAGTGATGAAAAACAATAAAAGCAAGGATTGTCGCGAATGTTTAATAAAAAAAAATGCAAAGTATTCTGCTGATGGAAAAGCTAAGGCAACTGAGCTGAGCTTGTCTTTATGCCAGGAGGGGAAATGGGCTGCCCACAAGGCTGGGGCTCCAGTATTGGCTGGTTTTCAGTGTGGTGGAAAGTCTTAGTGGCTACAGATTTTTGCTCTGATGCATTAATATTTATAAGCTCCCTCTGATGTCAGTGTATTGGTTTTTTGAGAAAATGCTTTTTTTAAGATTAAAGCAATAAATTCTTCTTCTTTTTCTTCTTCTTACTTGCTACTTCTTTACATAGGAAATTTTCAAAGTGATATCTGAAAAAGTTAACTTCACAGCATGTATGGTAGAAAGTTTGTCTTTACTTTTGAAATTGTAAATTCCATTTGGCATTTTTCAGTCTGTCACTCAGACCATACAGGAAAAAACAATTTGCTTAATTCAACCATGACTATGATATGCAACCTGATAGTAATTTTTTCTCTTTTAGCTGTCATTCACTATGATATTCAAGTCCTAGATGCTGTGGGGAATTAGTCCAAACAGTTTACTTTGAGTGTTTAAAAAAACCCAATCCCAACCCCAAAAGCCAGCTATTCTACACAGTTTGAGGCTCTGGTAAAGCCAGACAAGACATTGATTAATGTGCTTTTAGTAACTTGATATTGAATTCTCTTTTAAATCCATACATCGTTCCAACTTAAACATGAAGTCAGCTAGCATGGTAATTATTTTAATTGCTGTTGAGTACAGGGAGTGTTGCATTATCCAGTAGAGTTATTCACTGGTTTCAGGTATAGAACTAATAAGCTGGAACAGGCTTTAGGGATCTGTTTGATATTGCAGACTAATGCAGCAGTTACTTAAATGTTTCTGGTTTTCCTGTAAATGTTGCAGTGTGTAGATAATCTTTGAAATGAGAAGTATTTTAAAATTAGTGACCTCTGGGAATGTAGTTTAGAACTGACCATTTTTCAAATGTCTATTCAATGAAAGTAGACAGACACAGTCTCTCTTTGACACAGCTGAGTTGCCTCTTCAGAGGCAGAAGGGAAGTACAGCTAATAATGACCTTTCTTTTCTCCTCAGAAAGAGAGATTTGTCAGGAGGCAGCTAGGCCAGCTGGGAATGGGAGCCCTTCCCCTGGTAGCCAGTGGCTCACTTTCAGACTGCATGGGGAGTTAGAAAGTCATGGACAACACCATGAGGGACACAAGAATAGTTGTCAGCACACCAGGTGAAATAGTCATCCCATGCTGTCCTGTCAATCATGCCCTGCCTGACCTCTGCTAAGGAAACAGCCCAAAAGAATGTACATGAGAGTTGTAGGATGTATTTTTCTTACTGGCTTTTTAAAGCACAGTAGGAAGAAGTGGTAACTGGTCCATGGCTCAGACTCCCAGCACAGTTCATTCAGCAACTGTCTTGTCTCCATTGTGTGTCCTGCACAGGCAACCCCTTGTTGGGGAATTATGGCCCACAGTCTGCTTCATTCTCTCTGTTTACTCTGTGTTTTGAAGGTCCTAGAGTTTCTTGTGCATAGGATCAGCTTTCTTTCCATGCCTGACCTCAAAGCCTTTCCCAGGTGACGTAAGGCAGTGTGTGTGGTTAGGTGGCATTGCATGCTTGGTTGCATCAGGGATATCTTCTGCCCTGAGCCTGCTGCTGTGACCTGCCTGGCTGAAAAGCCTGAAGTCACTGGAAAAAGCTTAGGAAATCTGGGCAGAGAATCAGCTAATTACAAAACTGAGGTGCATGGTGGCTTGACATCCTTATTGTTTGGCTACTTCTTGTTTTTAAAACAACTTATTTTCAAATTATGATGTTTTGTTAGAGGATTTTTTCCCAAATTAACTAGTCCTCAAAATGCTTCTATGATTTCTTGTCCCCTGGGTTTAAGTAGAAAAGGTTCTCATATTTCAGGTAACAAAAAGGACATCCTGCTCCCCTCTGAAAAGGGGAAAACCAGCCTACAAGCCAGCCTTGGTAATTGCTTCCTTCTTCCTGTACCTTTTTAAGCATGTGTGGCATTGTACCTAGGAGCAGGCACCCCTCCTCTCCATTCCCATGTGCTGTTCTGGCTTCTTCCCTCCTGCTGGGACAGTGCAGTTGGTTCCAGTAAGTCCCAGAACGTTTACAAAGTTCATTTTGAGGGGATTACAGAAACAGTTTGGACTGATTCTCTCTCAAATGGGTTTGGCACCCAGCTCACGAATATTTATCTTCCTCAAAGTAGAATAAAAGCTTATTCAGTGTGTATGTAGGCATGACAAGAAATGCAGCTTTTGCCATCAGTCACTGTCCTTCCAGGGACTGTGGTGCAGTTTTGTCTGAAGCTTGGTGTATTTCCATGGTAGTTTTGAGTTGTTTTGTTTACTCCAGAGCACAGAGAGCAAAAATGTTTGATTATTTTAAGTTTTAGCTTACCATACTTGGAACGTTTCTGAGTAGTCTGCTGCCCTAATTTATGAAATAGCACTCCCCACCTAATTTTTCCTATTTTTCTTGCTTAGCTCTGTGAAATTCATGGTTTCAACAATTTTGGCTATTAACTTTCTCTACAAGATTTATATTTTCTTCTCACCACAGAGCTGGAACACATCTGGCCAACCTCAGGTGATGATCTACAGTTGGGCTTCCCACACCATAGTAGCAGTATATTAATCACCCACCACTTACAGCTACTGTTATCTGCAAGAGGGCTTTGAAATTCTTTGCAAGAGGTGCTTGGTTTCATTTTCTCTTTCATTTCCTTGCTGAGCTCTCACAACAGGCTCTCTGCTGTGTCTGTGCATTGAATGCTGCTTCTAGGCCAGAGAGACTCCAGACTGGTAAAGTGGAAGAGGGGGCAATTTGTGTCAGAGATGCTGATTGATCGCCTGTCCCTTTGGGCATCCTTGTAATGGCCTCCCAGAAGAAAGGCCTACTGTCTTGGGTGGAAAACTGGAGGAGCCTTTGTGTATTCAGCAGTGTGCAGCATTTGTGACTGTGGACAACAACACAGACACTCTTAGATAGAAAAGCACTGAGGGCAGTTAGGCAGTCCTGTTCTATGACCTCCCCAAAAAAAGGGACTTCGATTTTCATATATAGGGCTACTGGGCACAAGGAAGAGAGATTCCTGTCTTGTGCTCAGAGGCTTTTCATTTTTAGGTTAAATTTCCTATGTCTTCCAAGTGAGAAGATTCTAACTTATTTAAATAGCCTGCATGTACTGGGAGGAGGGCATGGAGCAGGAGTGGCTGGGCTTTGTGCCAGGGATTCAGTTCTGCTCTCAAGCCTAGTGCAGAAATGGTTTGTTTGGCTTTGTAGCTTGTCAAAGGCAGTGACTGAGCGTTGTCTGACTGCATGTACCTGAATCTCAATTCTCATACCATCAGAGCAGACAACTGTCTCTACAGATCTGCCTAAGTTGGCTCTACCAATTGCAGTTCTCAGCATTTTGGTGTATAATTCATAGGCCTCTCCAGTCTCTCATTGCTGGAGATTCAGGATCACTGGAATGATTCTCCATATGGCCAAAGGCTTGGTCCTTTCTGATAAACCTCAAGTATTTGAACTGTGCTCTTGAAGGAATCAGACTGACTGCAAGTCTTTGAACCTGAAGTCTAGGGTGAGATCCTGTGTACCAAGATGATGGGGGTAGAATAAGACTCTAAATAAGAGGATAAATGGCTGCAAGGTGCTGTGTTAATTCTCCTTGACATTTATACATGTATCCTTGATTCAAAAGAAAAGATCTGTCAAGCATGCAGAATGTGCTGTGGTGCAGTTTGCACACTCTGAGGGCAGATGAGAAATGAAAAGCAAACTAGATCTAATTAAAACTGAGACACTTCCTCTGTAATATCAGCCACTTCCTACCTGTGCTCACCTGACAACCCTGTCAGTCCCAGCACTGCAGCTGCTTAGTATTCATCTTGCCTTACTTCTGGGGACATGAGTCAGAATCTGCCAGAGTGCTTCCTAGACAGGGAATGAAACTGAACAAGTGCTTTCCTGAATTTGAATCAGGTTGTTAGTGCAGATTTTTATTGTTTGCATTCTAGTATGAAGCAGTGCTTTTCCATTAGTTTTTGTTTTTACATTTTCCCCACATTTCCAACACTAACATTTCCTTTTTTTTTTTCTTTTTTTCAGGAAAAGAGGCGTAGAAGTAGTGCAGGTGAGTAAAGGTTCTATTTTCTTCTAAAGAAGGCTTACTGATTTTAAATGCTGTCGTTTGGATGGAAATATGACCTGGGCTTAATGATTTTTCTTTCCATTCAGTTCTTTATGACAGACACTGCTTTTGGATAGACAGGATTCCCCTTTCATGAAGCCTGTGTTGAACCCACATGCAGTCCAGCTTCATAGGTGCCCTAGTGAAAGTGGGAATGCAGTTAGGCTTTTCTTGTGTCTGTCAATTAATAAGTTCTGATAGTTGATTAGGTGATGTTAGTCTTTTAATTGCATTCACAGAATGCAATTAACAGAAACAGGATATGCCCTTTGAAAAAAGAAAGCTATGGCAGAAGGAATGCTCTTGTAACTGAATGAGCAGAGAAATGATACTAAAGTGCTTTCAAGTTGTGGCCCTTCTACAGATAAGTTCAGGTGTTGGCTACATTTGTTCTTTCCCAGCTCTGAATGGTCATATTTCACACAAGATGTTACTTAAAGGATGGTGTCAGCTTGTGAAAGGAATTATGTTACATGTCAGCTGTAACATAGAGCACTATAAGCTCTAAAAGATGAAGGGGAAGCATGCTCCTTCTTTCTGGCTTATTTTGTGTGCTTAGAAGAACTGTATGAGATAGGTTTCACTCTTGCTGATACTTACCTGGTGCTCATTTTGAACTCTGAAGTGGTGAGTTCCTCACTGCCTCAATAGAGGTGACAGAAGAGAGAGATGGAAAATGGTATGTTAGCCTTGAGTAATTAAGGTTGCTCTGAAATCCATGTGAGAGGTGCTTCCCAACACCAGCAGGGAGCAGGAAAAAAGCACTTAACACAAAATAAATTGAAATATCAGGCCATGTTATTTTAAAGAATCCACTGTCAGAAAAGACTTAAAAACTTCTCATTGCTAGTTAAAATGGAGAGTATGTCTTTCAGTCATGAGTGGTTGTCAGACAACTGCATTGTGTTAGAAGGACAAAGGGCATATGCTTTACTGGCTGTGTTTAACCTATCACCACTGCTGCATCATCTTCCTTTCCTGTACCTCCTGTTGCTCAGAGCTAAAGGGCAGTTTCTTTCATCAGTTTTGATAATGGCATTACCAGATTGATAAAAACAAACCAGCATTTACAAAGCACAGCTCGATCAGGAGCACAGGGAGAAAGCTAGCCCATATTTGTGTCGTTGTCTAGGGGACATTATTATTTAATACCTCAGTGTATTACAGTCCAATGCCTGCATGTTATATGTGCCTTGCACCTGCACTGTACATTTATGCAGCAAGGGGCTCATATGAGATGAATTCAGTGATGCATCCATTAGTTGAGCAGAGGGCAGATTCCATTTTACCTCATGGATTAAAGTTATTATCTTTCCATAGGTTTGTGTAGCTTAATGGCTATGAAATTATTGGAAAGTATTTATTTATTGTAAGAGCATTTTGGGAAACATTTGGACAGAACTAGACAGGACTTTGTCCCCATAAAAATGCTTTATGCTCTCATAATTTATCATCTCATATTGGACAGCGTGGTTGAGATGTCAGACTGATCTATAGTGGGAATTTGTGCCCCAAAGGCATACCTCAATCCCTGGTGCCTGCTGCTCTGCTGGAACAGGATGTATTGAAGTGTGTGATCACCCTTTGTCTATCACTTGCGTGTTGCTGCATATAACCCAATGTGCTTCAGCCAGTAGGGAAGGTATCAGGAATGGGCTCTTGGCTCATCCCTTATTGCTAGAAACTTTTGCTTGAAGCACCTTGCATGATCTGTCCCCCTAGCCCTGCTTCCAGATGAAGGATTGTCTTGATGTCCATCTGGTGCACAAGGTTTGACAGAGGGAATATTGTCTTCCTGTGTCAAGCAGCAGCAGCATTTCTTTGATTTGCTTTCCCTTCTCCTTTAAAGAACCTGTCCTGTTAGAGAGAAACCAGGTAAATCAAAACTCAACATACACAGGATGTTTACCTGATTTCTTTTTTACATAAATTCAGAATTTTTCTGAAGTAGACTTGCTTTTCAGTAAGTAGTGAAGTTGGAAGGTAAGGTTTAGTTACTGACTTCTAGAGAGCAAAGCATGAGGGACTGGTATGTGCTGCCTTCTGTGAACGTACATCAAATTATTCTTTTCCAAAGATGTTTCACAGGAGCAGGAAAGGATTTTCTACTACTAAAGCAAAGTCTTGGAAGTCTTCAAATTAGCATCTGTGTGACTTCTGTTTCCTTCATGCAGGGAGGATTTAGGATAGTCCTCTCTTCTTTGGCTAGACAGATTAAATTCTTTTATTTTGCTTTCTTAGAGCTAATTGTGCTTTATAGATTGACTGAGCTGCTGCTAGACAGCAATTAATATTTCATGACTTGTGTTCAGGTTTTGTGTTTTGTCTTCTCTCAGACTTCCACTTTCAGCAGAGAGAGTGGTTCCAGGTTTCTATTTTTATTGATTGGGGAGACATGCACATCCTCCAAAGAAAAATAAAACAAGAGCGGGACTGGCAGTGGGATGCTAAGCAGGCATTCTCCTTTATCTAGCAGTAAGACCTTAATCAAAGCATCACATTGAAAACAAACAGAAAACCTCTCAACTTGTGTGGTGATAAATAATTGGGTTTTTTTAGAAATACTGATTAATTTCTAACATAATAAGAATTCACTGTGAACTCAAGGTGCAAGAGCTGAAATGTGCAACATTATATAGTACAACTGAGTGACATCCACCAAGCTAGCTGGCTTAGAAGATGGTACAGTAGATTAATTAATTAAAAAGCTTTCAAGGTTATGAACTTTCCAAAGACAATATGAGTCTGAGCCTGCACCCAAACATTTGGGAGCCTGAATAGGATTAGCTTATTTCTGTTTTTCCGGTGGACATGGCAGAACTCTGAGTAGAAGCATCCTTAAAATCTGGCAATGTTTTGGATCTAGGTTTGCTTTCTGCAGCTTAAATCCAAATCCGTGGGGCAGCCATAAACCAGTGTTATATTACAAGGAAAAAACCAAAAAAGCAATTTACTAGCTTTTCAAGGTGGGCTCTTGACAGAATACTGTGCTGCCTCTCTCACCTTATTATGGGGCATTTACTTATTTTTTTTAAGCAGGGATCGCTTGAGTATCAGGGAGCTTTTTGAATTAGTGCTTACTTGTTGGTACCCCAAGGTGAGGAAGCACTCTTGTTCTGGTTTTGCAGGAGGAGAGACTGAAGGATGTGTCCCATTTCTCCCAGGGAACCTGTTGCAATTCCAGCCCCAGTGCAGCTGGGATCTGTGCTGCAATCTGTGGTGCAGGAATTGCAGGAATTTCAGCTGCAGCTTTCTGGGAAGGGCTGTGGGGCCACTGGCTTGTGCTGTTGTGTGGGCACGAAGGCAGGAGCCATGAAAGGTGGTCAGCAGGGCTGGGGCTGCTGGCTCTCTTCCAGGGAAAGGCAGCTTTATTTAAAGTGTTCTGGATTTAAAGTATTCTGAATGAAATGCTCTTGTGGTTCCTGTGGCAGTTCCAAACCTTCTCCTTTCTTACTGGCTCTCCCCACCATTCACAGCTGCCTGCTCAGCTGGCATGGCTTGAGCTGGTGGCCAGAGAAGGGTAGAGATGCCCTGAGCAGGTGACAGACATGACCAGAGCCCATCTGCCATGGCCTGCAGGCAGTTGCTAGGCAGGCAGCAGCTGGCAAGGCTGAGGCAGAACAGCTCTTGTGCTGGCATTGGGGTGACTTGCCAGAAAATGCTTAAACTGAAGCATTTCTTAATCAATTCATCACTGTTTCAAGGGGAAGACTGCTTATGAAGCTATGCAGTGGATGGCTGATGAGGTGTTTATCATTAAAAAAAAGGTATTTTCTGTAATGGCATCTACAAATAAGGGTTTTATATAGTGTCTTCTTCTGATCTTGTTCAATTTCTAGCCCTCCATCACTCAGATTAGTGGAGGGCAAAATTTAGGATTGAAAATTGTCAGTTCTTCTTTAGCTAGTGAAGTAGCCAGTTTCTTATGACTGTGCTCTGGTAAGGGAGAGAAAAAACATCTACCTTGTATTTCAGGAAAAATCTGTTGGCTTAGTTTGAAGAATGTAAGAGTGAAAACGTGCACTGAAGTGGAAATCATCACAAGTACCTCTGATAGAGACATGCATTTATTTTTGTTTCACAAGCTATGCAAAACCAGAATAATTAGCTGCAGCCCTTTGGCTTCTGACAAATTGCCAGTCTGGTTTTTGTGTGACTGAGTTTGGAGCCTTCGTATTTCTCGTGACTTCAAAGCTGTTTCAAGCCCTTCCACACCCAAACTTTCCTTGAGCTCTTGCTCACATTTTTGAATTCTAAAATAGTGAAGATTCCCTATTTTGGGGTGGGTGATTTTGGATCAAATGAACACTAGTGCTCTTCTATCTTAGAAGGATGTTCTAGTCAGTTGGCTATAAAAGTGGGATTAGTTGTATTTCAAAATGCATGTTTTTTAATAGCAGTGGGATATGAAGGAGAGCATGTTTTCTGATGTGGAGCAGCTGATTGTAGTAGTTACAATGGTCTCAACTGCTATCTTGTTTTTCCCTCAACTTTCTGGGAATAGAGATATTTGAAATCTTTTATTTTGGAGAAGAAGACTGTCCTTTGAGACATGGGTTTTCTTGAAGCCTGCAAAGGAGAATTCAGGGTGCCCTCCACACTATTTAATTCTTCAGTCAAAGTGAAAAACTAATGACAATGGTTTCTACTGTTTGTTGCCAGGGATCTGTTGTTTTCTAGAAATTAGGAGAGGTTTATTTTCACATGAAATATTAATGGAGTACGCTTGAAACAGCAGTGTTCTAACCAAGAAATTTAGCTTGTAAAATATATATTTGGTAGCATGTACAGAAAGATGTGACTGGAAAGCTTCCAAAGCAAGCAAGGTTGTTGAGATGTTGGAGGTTGGCCCTCTAGAACTGGGAGAAGAAAGTTTATTTTTACATGCATGCCAGGCCTTCAGTAAAGTCCCTGTTTTCCTGAGAATGGAAGCCTGCTTTGCC